TAACAGGCCGGTTGCTTCATGCTGTCGGGACCCTCGGCCACGAGCACGCCGGAGGTTTCCCAGGAATGTTAGCAGGAGGCAGGCCTGAGGCAGTTTGTGTGTACAGATGATGCTCATAATCGCTCTTTGGCGCGGCTCCCCCCCTCCCCGCCCCAGATCAAGTCCCAGTGAATGATGGAAATTAGTGTCTCTTGGCCGCGTAGATCGGAGACGTTCATCTAGCCTAGTCTTCAGGGCATGGCTTGCACCCTGTCCGCAGATATGGACCCTTTGAGCCTGTTGGAGATGTGGTATCGTAGCTTGATTAAGGACAGCAATAACCTTGGGGGCTCTCCTAAGGGAGATAGGGAGAGAGAGTGGGGGGAGGGATTGCTGTTTTTTTCACAAGCCTGCGCACGCGGCTCCGGCCTCTGCTGAAGTGATGGTGATGGATTTCTGGCTCCTGGAAAGGCCTTGGGGGTGATGTGGAGGGAGGACGGAGCTGAGAAGGCCCAGACAACAGTCACGGGCCACAGATGCAAGGGGTGGTCAGGGGAGCGGCTGACTCGGAACAGGGCAGTGCCCTTGAAGCAGTTCAAGGAGCGGGCAGGCGTGTCCGCTGCTGCCTCAGGTCGGGGAAGGTGACTGGCGTAAGGCCACTGGACTTGCCAGGAGAGGAGAAGGCCATCAGGATCCTGGGGCAGAGCCCAGGGAGCAGGAACCAGAGGGCCGTTGGTGGGGTGGGGAGGGGGAGGCAGCAGCTAGCAGCTAGTGTGGCCTGAAGCGAGTCACCTCCCTGAACCTCCTGGGTAATTGTGAGGAGAACATGAGAAAACCAGAAACAAGACACCTTACATGGTGACAGGCACGTACCAGGTTCTCGGTTTCCTTCATCGTGACAGACGCACCGATTCTCAAGGGGTTCTGGTTCATGTCTCAGTAAGGTGCCCCTTGTGCTTGTCATTCCCAAGGGTGAAGCTCGGAAACCTTCCTGCTTTAGGCCATAAGCCACAGACAGTGACTGACTAACCTGTGGGCCCAGGGCCATGGAACCCCTTTACCAGTGCAGTGCCTGCCTCGGCACCCCTCCCTCTCCACCCCAGAGCCATTCGGGATTGCTCACGGGTTCCTGCTCCAGGTTAGGATCCATTTCCAACACCAAGGATTTTCTCATTTCTCTCAACGTCAAGTGTGTATTTACATGTGTCATATTTTATCCAGCAAGTTCTATGTGCTATAACAGGAAGGTGGGTCATGTTAGCTCAGTATGTCATGGGATCAGAGGTGTACTGCATTTTTACTACTTTTTGTTCATTTCATTAAGGTTTCTTTAAGTCAAAGCGAATCAATTCAATTTTGCTTGAATTCACAGAGGAAAACGGCTAAGCAGAAACTAAAGGCTGATTTTCAGATAAATGTTTATTCGGAGCAAAGTATAGCTCTCTGACGTTAAGAAAAAAATTATAGGGGCACCCCATCTCAAGGTTTGTGAGTTCAAGCTCCATGTCGGGCTCTGTGCTGACAGCTTAGAGCCTGTTTGGGATTCTCTCTTTCCCTCCCTCTCTCTCTGCCCTGCCCCTGGCATGCACACGCATTCTCCCCCCACCCCTTAAATATAAACATTTAAAAAAATTCTGAAAACCATTAAAAGACACACATTTTTATTGTTTTAAACAATTTTTAATGTTTATTTTTGAGAGAGAGAGAGAGAGAGACAGAGTGTGAGCAGGGGAGGGGCAGAGACAGAGGGAGACGCAGAATTGGAAGCGGGTTCCAGGCTCTGAGCTGTCAGCACAGCCTGATGCGGAGCTCAGACCCACAAACAGTGAGATCATGACTTGAGTCCAGGTGGGTCGCTTAACCAACTGAGCCACCGACGTTCCCCAAGACACACATTTTTAAAGCTGTTTTCTTGTAGACAGAATAAAGCTTGTTTGCAGGGAGTTCGGCATTCCTTCTAAGCATGAAAATCAGAAGATGTTACTTTCAAGACAGACAAAACCCCAACATTTTACTGCCACCTTTTTAATTATTTGTTTATTTTATTTTTTAAATGTTTTTTATTTCTGAAAGAGAGAGAGAGAGAGGCACCATGAGCAGGAGAGGATCAGAGAAAGAAGGAGATACAGAATCTGAAGCAGGCTCCAGGCTCTGAGCTGGCTGTCAGCAGTGAGCCCAACGTGGGGCTCAAACCCACCAACCACGTGATCGTGACCTGAGCCAGTCGGACGCCTAACCGACTGAGCCACCCAGGTGCTCCCACTACCACCTTTTTTAATTAAGAAAAGTAAGACTTAACCTTAAAGCTTATTTCTACAATACTTGCTCCACACGATCTAAGCAAAGTATCCCGTAACAGTGACAGATGAGACTTGGGAAGGGAAAACCAGCTCTCGCGTTGGGGACATGGGCGCCAGAGGAGGACAGACCTAGATTTGAACCTGAGCGCTGCTTCTTACTAGTTTAATGCCTTGGACAATGGACTTTCTCCCTTAGCCTCTGTTTCCTCGTCTGTAAACGAGAGCGAGTACCCAGGGAACGCCTGCCTCGTGAGGCTTGGGGGAGCGCGTGAGACAGTGGGAGTCAGGCGCTCGGCCCTGTGCCTGGGGGGCTCCAGGGGCGCTAATAAACAGTACCCCTCCTCGCCTCCTGAGCTCTGGGCCAGTGAGGCATTGGAGCACACTGCCGCCTCCCTGCCGGGCAACAGGGACGAGGCCGGGCTCCCGGAAGCCCTGGGTGCTGCTGCCCAGGCCCAGCCCGGGGAGAGGACGAGGCGGGTGCTGCTCGCCCGCTCTTCTCTCCTGCTAACTCCCTCCATCTCTGGGAGGGAGACAGCCTCAGGCAGGTGGGCAGAATACCTCCGGGAGCTCACCTCCTGGGGCACCAGGGGCACAGGGATGGATGTACCTTCCGTGTCTGATCCGAATAGGGATTTGGTGGCTACCTACGGTGGTGAAACCACTCAGAGAGCGAGGTGACATCTGTGTAGACGGACCGGAGCGACCCAGGGTGTGTTGTAAATGGGGGCATGGCTGCAGATGGTGTGTGGCGGGGTCCCAGTCTTACTGTTGAGAATCGTGTGGACGTGGGTAACGGCATTTGTTCAGGCAGAGTGTGAGCGAACGCGGATAACGGGAACAGCTCGCGGTGGGGGTTTCCTTGTGTCTACAGCGTCTACACTTGTTTGTTGTTTGAAATACTTCTGCAATGTGTGCATTATGTTTGTAATGGCTAAGAATTAAAGTGATGCGCCAGTAGAACAGGATGTAACTGAGCCGTGTAGCCCTGATGCCATAAAAATGCTAGTGCAGGGGCGCCTGGGTGGCTTAGTCGGTTAAGCGTCCGACTTTCGCTTAGGTCATGATCTCGCGGTTCGTGGGTTCGAGCCCCGCGTCGGGCTCTGTGCTGGCTGCCAGCTCGGAGCCTGGAGCCTGTTTCGGAGTCTGTGTCTCCCTCTCTCTCTGACCCTCCCCTGCTCATGCTGTCTCTCTCTCTCCTAGAAATAAATAAAACATTAAAAAAAAAAATTAAAAAAAAAATGCTAGTGCAGAAAAAATACCAGAGGGAAAATGCTAACTGGTAACCTTAGGGTTAAAGGTAATTTTAGGTTTTTTTTTTTTCAGTCTTTCTATTGTCTCCATTTTCTCTGTTGGCATAGTTTACCTCCTGCCTTTAAAAAACTAACTAGTTAAAAATAAATAAATAAATAAAAAATAAATAAAAAACTAACTAGTTAAAAGGAATTTTTATAAGCAGGAGAAAGAAAGCTTTAAAGCAAGCTAGTGAGTGGGCCCGGGAGGTCGCGGGCGGCGAGCCTCACGCGGACAGCAGTGCCCCCCGCGGACTTGTGCCCAGCGCCTTGTCCTCAGCGCCAGCTGGTGGTGCGTGGGCTCGGTTCCTCTTTCATCGCGGGGAGCACCGCGCCCGAGTTCGGGTTGTTTACCAGCATTACGTAGGCCTCACTCAAGTTGCCCTAACAGATTCAAACGACTTGACTTGACGTTCCAGGCCGCCTACGTAGGTGGCTCTGGCCCTCAAGGCCTCTGGGAGCCTGGCCGCTTTGCCACAGCCACGTGTCACCGTGGGTGGCGGTAGGGGCCCCACACACATCCATTCCCTTCCCGCCTCATTGGCCGGATCTCGGTCACAGGGTCGCGCCCGGCCGCCTGACCTCGGGCTCTCGGAAGCGCAGCCGTCTGCTGTGGCCGTGTGCCGGCTCGACTGTAGGTGGGGTTTCTGTCCCTCAGAGGCAGCAGGGTGCCGGGCAGTCTTCGGTCCGCCCCCAACCCCTTGTCCCACACCAGCCACTTCCTCCGGCCCGGACGGCGGCCATGGCCTTCTTCACCAGGCGCTGCTGCGGCTCTTCCTACTCAAGACTCAGGCGAGTGCTGGCCTCGCTGGGTGCGGTGTCCGCACCGGCCAAAGAGCAGCACCGCTGTGCGGACGCGCCCACTCGCTGTCCACGGCCACGCCGTCTGCTGGTCTGCAGTGGGATTTGCAAACGTGTCCTGGACAGGTGGCCACGAAAGCAGATCCGGGACCCGGGAGCCCATGGCCACGCTCCGGGGTGCACACCCGCCAGGAGCGACCTGCGCCCACAGGAGTCGTCACGGCAGCGTTAGTCGCCAGACCGCTGAGGCGCTCGTGAGACGTGCGGGACTGAATTGTGACCTGTCGGTGCGGCGGGGTGCCATGTGTCACCTGTGAGCGTGAGCTGCCGCCGCCACAGTGGTGACTTTCACAGACGTAGTTCTGAGTCAAAGCGGAGGCACTTTTGGGGGAGTGATGAAAATGTTCTGGTAGTAACAATGGTGACGGTGTTGCAATCTTAGGAATATTCTTAAAAACACTTAATTGTGCACTTGAAGATGGTGAGTTTAGGGGTGCGCAGGTGGTTGGGTTAGTGTCTAACTCTCGATTTCCCCTCAGGTCATGATCTTCTGGTTCACGGGATCGAGCCCCGCGTGGGGCTCTGTGCTGACAGCAAAGAGCCTGCTTGGGATTCTCTCCTCCCCAATTCGTGTGCTCACGTTCTCTCTCTCTCTCTAAATAAGTAAGTAAATAAACAAATAAATAAAGTTTAAGATTGTGAGTTATAATTCGAATAATAGTTACATGTTGAATTAAAAGCAGACACAGAAGCATGTATAAATTCGTTTAAGTGAATTTTTTATTTTTCTTTTTTCATTTTTTTAAACATGTTTTTTCTTGAGGGGAAGGCAGAGAGTGAGTGGGGGAGGGGCAGAGAGAAGGGGAGACACAGAATCCGAGGCAGGTTCCAGGCTCTGTGCTGTCAGCACAGAGCCTGACAAGGGGGTTGAACTCACAAACCGTGAGATCATGACCTGAGCTGAGGTTGGGTGCTTAACCAACTGAGCCGCCCAGACGTCCCTTATTTTCTCATTTTTAAGTAAGTTCTGTGCCCAGCATTGGGCTCGAACTCACATGTCCGAGATCAAGAGTTGCAGGCTCTGCTGACTGAGCCGTTAACTGGGCAGAGCTCTCCGGTACTTACAGAAGTGGTTCCCTTGGAGGGACAGAAATGTTCTGTGTTGGCCCTTTGTTGTTAAATGGGTGTCACCAGGAGTTCAGTGAGATGTGCGTGCTCTGTGCAAGTTACAGCTCACATCAAAGAGAAAACCCCGGGTTGAAAGGACGCCCCGCCTGGGCCAGAGAGCACGTGACCTGGTCACTCCCTCTGCTTCTGCTCCTGTTCCCGCTCCGCCCTGCCCACAGCTTTGCCCGCAGAAGCAGGTCCTTGTCCTTGATGGCCACACTGGAAATGGCTCTGGAGGGCATCCCTGCACAGGTTTGCACAGCAAAGTCTGCTTCCTGTTGGTGCAGATTTGAGGCTTCAAGAAGTGATTGTTTGGGGTCACCTTGGTGGAGCTCCCCGGAAGTGGACTTCCCGCGTACGGCTCTCCGGCGATGCATCTGTGAGGAAGGCTGGGTCGGGCAGTGGGGCCAAAGCTGAGGCTGCGGCCCTTCCCAGTGGAGCTCTGGGGTTGGGACAGCACTGGAGGCCCCAGATGGAGGTGAGGACACTCCGGTTCCCGTGAGTAGCCAAGCGTTGGCTGTGGCGTAGTGGCATCTGAGACGGCCGTCCAAGGTCCCTGAGCCTGAGCCGCACACACCTTCTCCCAGCTGCCTTGCAGGGACTTTGCGGTTGTGTTTAAGGTCCTGAGTCAGCGGTGTCAGGTGGGGAGGCGCTCGCGGTGGACTGACCGAGTCATGCATGCACTTGGAAAGCAGTTTGCTGCAGCTGGTGGCAGAAGAGAAGTCACGGGGCCCCCCCTCACTGTTCCTGCCTGAAAGACGCAGGCGTCCCCGGGGGCTGAGAGCAGCTTCCAGGTGACAACTGGCCAGGAGTCTGGGAACGGCCTGGGGTTGTCAGGAGCTGATTTCTACTGACCTCTGAATGAGTTTGGAAACAGGTTTCCCAGCACTTCCAGGTGTGACCTCAGCCTGGCTGACATCTTGTGTGACCTTGAACAGGGGTCCCAGTCACTCTGGGCGGGGCTTCTGACTTTCAAAAGTGTGAGATGACAGACGTGCTGTATTCTGGTGCTGTGTTTGTGGTGCATTGTCGTACAGTGATGGACAGCTAAGAGTGGGCCTTCCAGGGGAGGGGCGTGACCTGTGGGGAGGCAGAGTCCTGCCTACAGGTGGTTCCCAGTGTGAGGGTTTCAAAGTGGGGGGTGGGAGTGGGCATCACTCTGAGCAGGGCAGCTGGGCCTGGCACCCTGGCAACTATACGTGTTAACCCCTGACTGAACAAGCTTTCCCACAGGAACACACTGGTGGGATGAAGAGCGCCGTGTAGACTGTCAGCACCCCTGTGCCCATCCACCCCTTCCAGTTCTTTCTTCTCCATAAAGGTCATCAGGGTCTTAGTTCTCCCACATGGGTTGCTTTTGTCTGTTTTTTTTTAACTTGATATAAACATTCCTGCAATATGAACTCTCTTGTACCTGGCTCCCTCTGCTGAACATTGCATCTGTGGGATTCATCTTTGCTTTTGTGTTTAGCAGGGTTTGTTTTTCATTGCTACGTATTACTCCTTTGTAGGAGTACTTCTCAGTCTCTCTCTCTCTCTGTTGGTTATTTTAGAGGTTATGAATGGTGCTGCTGTAAACATTCCAGCTCTAGACTTGTGCAGGGGAGGCTTGGTGTCATTGAGTGGATGAGAGGAGTGGGTTTTAGTGCACAGGCAGAGATGTTCTCCAAGGACAGTATAACCATGTAAGAAGGGAGGGGCTGCTGTGGGTACAAACAGGTAGGTTGTAGATGGGGTAGGAGAAAGTTGGCATTCTCATCTCATTGCTTCTGTCTTACTGAAATAACCCAAGGCATCAGCTGAGAGGGAGGAGGGAGCATTGGACATTTGAGAACAGAGGACAAAGCAGGGGTGGTCTTGTAGGAGAATAAGGAAAGTAGAGGTTGCAAGTGGCCCTCAGGGCCCCGTGAGGCAAGGGATTGTAAATGTACAGATAGCTCAGTTGGCGTGGATGTAGATGCAGAACAGGAAGCAAGTGGAATTTAACCCACATTGGGATTTTGCCACGAAAATGTGATAGAGGAAGGGCAGAGGGAGTTAAGATTAATATACAAGAAGATGAATATAATATGTAACCAAAGATAAATACAGTATCACAGACCATGGGATCCAAGCGTGGTACAGAGGAAAGGGAGGACAGTGAGGGGTGGCAAGGTCAGTACATTTGTTTCCTTGGAAATATGTCTTAACTTTTTAATGGAATCCAAGCCACATCTCTGCCCGTTAATCTGTTCCCAGAGTTGGCTGTTGGAGGTGGAACCCCAGAGAAGCTTTCTCAAGTGGGTGAGGCAGGTGGCTGAGATGCACGTTGGGGTGTCCGTGTGTTGGGTGGGTAGTGTGAGCAGGGGGAACGCTCCTCTCTCCCACTCTTTGGATGTGTTTTATCCTCCACTTGCTCCTGCAGATTCCTGTCTGTTGACAAAGACAAAAGGTGATCTTATTCTCCTTTATTTCAGATTCTGACCTAGGAACTTGTGACAAAAAGGTGACTCTGGATTTTGAATTTCTGAGGATGGAAAGCTGCCTAAGACAATGTCAGAAACACTCACAGTGATGGAGCCCCCTGCCGCTGAGCCTGGGGCATTCCCCGAACCCAAATTAGGGGGGCTTTTGAGAAATCCAGAAGGGCAGAACCTGCGGAGCTGTGCCCCTCAGGAGGGAGGTTTCAGGCAGGTGACAGTTACCCACTGGAAGATCCAAGCAGGAGAGGCAGCTTGGGTGGGCAGTAAATCAGGAGAAAGCCCAGTTCTGAGCTCAAACCTCCTCCTCCTCCAGAGAGAGCTTGTGGAAGGAGAAGCCCACCAGTGTGAGACTTGTGGCCAGACTTTCCCATTAAACTCGGACCTTGTAGGACATCAGATTGCTCATACTGGGGAGAAGAAACCTTGCAGATGTGAGCAGTGTGAGAAAAGCTTCAGCCAGAGCTCCCACCTTGCTGAGCATCAGAGAGCTCACACAGGAGAAAGACTCATCGTGTGCAACATGTGTGGGAAAGACTTCATTCACTACACAGAACTCGCCGAGCACCAGAGGGCACATGCAGGAGGAAAGCCATTCCGATGTGTGCAGTGCGGGAGAGCCTTCCATCACAGCTCAGACCTGGTTCGGCACCAGCGAGTTCACACCCGGGAGAGGCCTTTCGAATGCAAAGAGTGTGGGAAAGGCTTCAGTCAGAGCTCCTTGCTTATTCGCCATCAGAGAATTCACACAGGAGAAAGACCCTACGAATGTAACGAATGTGGAAAGTCTTTCATTAGGAGCTCAAGCCTTATTCGACATTATCAGATCCACACAGAAGTGAAACAGTATGAATGTAAGGAATGTGGGAAGGCCTTCCGTCATCGCTCAGACCTCATTGAACATCAGAGAATTCACACTGGAGAGAGGCCCTTTGAATGTAATGAGTGTGGGAAAGCCTTCATTCGAAGCTCAAAGCTTATTCAGCATCAGAGGATCCATACTGGGGAAAGGCCTTACGTATGCAATGAGTGTGGGAAGCGTTTCAGTCAGACATCAAACTTTACTCAGCATCAGAGAATTCACACTGGAGAGAAGCTCTATGAATGTAATGAATGTGGGAAAGCTTTCTTTCTGAGTTCATACCTTATTCGACACCAGAAAATCCACACTGGAGAGAGAGTGTATGAATGTAAGGAATGTGGGAAAGCCTTTCTCCAGAAAGCTCATCTCACTGAACATCAGAAAATCCACACTGGGGATAGGCCCTTTGAATGTAAAGACTGTGGGAAAGCTTTCATTCAGAGCTCCAAGCTGCTTCTACATCAGATTATTCATACTGGAGAAAAGCCCTATGTATGTAGTTATTGCGGGAAAGGCTTTATTCAGCGGTCAAACTTCCTTCAGCACCAGAAGATTCATACTGAAGAGAAACTCTATGAATGTAGTCAATATGGGAAAGATTTCAACCCGACCCCAAACTTTAAAAATAATCAAGGTGTTCACCAGGAGGGACTTCCCTTGAATAAGACCCCCACCATACATTTGGGCGAGAAGTCTGCAGGTCAGGGGGTGCTCACAGCTGACTTACAGTCCTTCTCCCGCTGAGTGAGTGATGTTTGGAAGGGAGTGGCACAAGTCCACATGATTCCATTCATGTGACTTGGGATGTGCCCGCATTTCCCAAAGTCCTAGGCAGGGTTGCTTTCAGAGTGGGCTGTCCCCTACCGCCATGCAGCAGTGCTGGGCTGCTGTCCTCAGCTAGGAGCGTGTGACCTCAAGAGGGCCACGAGACTGCACAAGTGACTCTGGGCTGGAACAGTGCTGGGGGAAGGGCTGGGTCTCGAAGAAGGCTCTGTATCGTATTGCCAGCTACAGCCCACCCCTGAGTTAAGTCCTTTTTAAAGCAGAACTATGAACCTCATCTCAGTACTTACGAGAATATTACTTCGTAAATTTTGATACGTTAAAAGGGCAAGTTGGAGAAAGGTCTTTCTTACTTAAAGTCACAGATTGGTTCCCTGTTGTCCTTAGGATGCTTCCCAAGCACCCGGTCCTGCTTTCTCAGGCCTTTTTGCTTCCTGGAGTTTCATCCACTCCTTAACCAGTCACCACGTGGTGTGTGTCGTGGCAACACACACTGGTCAACGCTCACTGGTCGACACTCCCACTTAACCAAGCGGCTCCTGCCTCCTCATCTCTGTCCTTGTTTGAGTGCGGTCTGCTTTACACCTGACTAACTCCTCAGGCGTCGTGCTGGGCTCAGCCAGCTACCTCCCCAACCCTGGGCTTGTGTGGCTAGTGAGCACTCCGTTACTGCTCACTCTTTGGTATATCAAAGTTAAGGGTTTTTAAATCTACTCTCACTTTCGTTTTTACACTGTTGTTTCCTTATGGACATGATCACAGCTGATTGACTTATGTGTCCCTGCATCTAGTGCGAGGCAATAAAGAGCACACCCCAGATCTTGTGTGATTGGCACCTCTCTTGCTCTGTCCCTTCTCTACTGCTAGATATTAAATTTGGGGATCCTGTCATTTGTGATGGCATAATTTACCCGTCCACGGGAAGTATCTGGTCTCTCAACCCTGTTGATGTCCCCTTGTACCTGACTTGGAAGCTGTAGCAGCAGCTAGTGTAGGACTAGCGTGCCTCATGCTTACTGCCTCTAGAACTCGCCCGTGACTTGTGCACTTGCTGTTGGGGAGTGCTGTCTTTACGGGGCTGCCTGTGCGGCTTTCTCATCCACTCAAGGGGCACACATTCCCGTGCACTGAGCGAGGTTTTCTGGCTCACTTTGTCATTTATTTGAAGATGTGATCTAGAAGGACCGGTGCTGGACTCTGGGAAAGCAGGTGAAGCTGTTTGGTCCGCTGGGGAAGACACGTGATACCCAGTGGCAAGTGTGAGGCAGAAGCCGCCAGTTGTGTAGGACATCGGTCAGGTGGGGATGAGGTGGGCATGGAGGGTCTGGGACAGCTTAACAGAAGAGGTGACGCCGGGACCGAACGAGCCGTGGCAGCTCAAGAAAGAGAGTGACCTGGGAGAGGACCCTGCAGTGCAGGGGGGCGGCAGACTCCTCTTCTGGTAGTTTTCACCGCACAGTAGCCGACAGCACTCAACTTTACACTTGTTGCCTCTCAACTTCTTTTCTCTGACATGAGCCAAATCAACCAGTTTTGAAATGACATAAACCATTTTTTTTTGCCCATGAGGGCAGATTTTGAGTTCTTAAATTCCAGCAACCTTAGAAGCCTCCGGGGGCAAGTGAGAAAGGAGCATACAGCACTGCATCTTCTGGAAAACTCCTTATCGCTAGAGATGTTTCACGTGGTACAGAGGAGATAGTACCAGCGCACCAGCGTCGCCTTGATGAGGCGCAGTCTCCGTGCGGTAACACGCCTCCTCAAAGTGGACGGGGTTTTGAGAAACCATATACCTGTGTGACCACCATTAGAATGAAGAATGATAACATTTTCTCACACAGCATTGTGCCATTTGCCCTTCCCCAGCTAATCCCACCCTAGTCCCGAGTAACTGCTTTCTGTCGGCGTAGCTTAGCTTTGCTTGTTGTAGGCCTTCACGTTAAACAGACCCGTATGGTATATAATACTGCGTGTCTTGATTTGCTTTGCTTTGCTTTGGCATGTTTTACAGACTCACCCAAGTAGTTCTGTGTTTCGGGATCTCTGCTGAGTAGTGTCCGTTGTACGGACAAGCCATTTGTTATCCAACTGCCTGCTGATAGAAATTTGGGTTTCCAGGTTTGGATCTGACGAATAAAACTGCTATGAGCATTTGTGTAAAAGTATTTATTTGGAAATGCCTCTTTATTTCTCTTTGGTGAATGCCTAGGTGTTTACTTTCTGGGTTATAGGTGTGTTTTTTCACTTTATTTAACAGCCAAACGTGCTAACCGATTGCGCCACAGAGACAGAGACTAACTTTATTTATTTATTTTAATGTTTATTTTCGAGAGAGAGAGAGAGAGACAGAGACAGAGCATGAGTGGGGGAGGGGCAGAGAGAGGGAGACGGAACTCAAAGCAGGCTCCAGGCTCTGAGCTGTCAGCACAGAGCCCGACACGGGACTTGAACTCACAAACCATGAGATCATGACCTGAGCCAAAGTCGGACGCTTAACCAACTGAGCCACCCTGAAGCCCCAGTGTGTTTCTAACTTTATAAGAAATTGCCAAAAGTTCTCAATAGTGGTTGTACCTTTTACACTCCTGCCACAGTGCGGCTGTTAGTCGCTCATGTCCTATGGACACTTGATATTGTAACTCATCTGAAGTGGAATCCGTCCTAATTGTGTGTGATGGTGTTTGTCTTTCTAATTGGTATTTGTCCACTCAGTGATAGTGTCGACCATCTTTTCATGTGCACATTGCCATTATCTATCCTCTTTTGTGATGTGTCTGTTCGTCTTTTGCCCATTAAAAAAATTTTTTTAATGCTTATTTTTGAGAGAGAGACAGAATGGGGGAGGGGCAGAGAGAGGGAGACACAGAATCCAAAGCAGGTTCTAGGCTCTGAGATGTCAGCACAGAGCTAGATGTGGGACTCAAACTCTCATACCACGAGATCATGACCTGAGCTGAAGTCCAGCGCTTAACCGACTGAGCCACACAGGTGCCCCATTGTTAGCCTTTTTTTTTTTTTTTTTTTAATTTCATTTGGGTTTGGTTTTTTTTTTTTGATGTTTATTTATTTTTGAGAGACAGAGCATGAGCAGGGGAGGGGCAGAGAGAGAAGGAGACACAGAATCTGAAGTAGGCCCCAGGCTCTGAGCTGTCAGCACAGAGCCGAACACGGGGCTCGAACTCACGAACCGCTAGATCATGACCTGAGCCGACGTTGGCTGCTTAACCGACTGAGCCACCCAGGCGCCCCTATTTGCCCATTTTTTAAATTGGGTGCTTTGTCTTCTTATTACTGACTTGTGAGAGCCTTTTCTATATTGTAGATGAGAGTCTTTTTCCAAATTTATAGTCATTACAAATACGTTAAATCTTTGGCTTGCCTTTTCATTTTTTTAATGGTATCTTTTTTTTTCCCTTCAAATTTGTATTTAAATTCTAGTTAACATGTAGTGTAATAATTGGTTTCAGGAGTAGAATTTAGTGAGTCATTACTTACATATAACACCCAGTGCTCAAAGCAATTGCTTTCTTTGGTACCCATCACCTATTTAGCCCAAATGGTATATTTTGAAGATCAGATTTAAAAACCTGTTTTATTAAGTCTACAATTTACCGAAATTTTTTCTATTTTATGCTTCTTGAGTTCTGTCTAGGTTTTGAAAAAGCTATTTTCCAGTTGTTATTGCTAGTGTGTAGAAACACATTTGATTCTGGTAGCTGACCTTGCGTCCTGCAACCCAGGTGGATTCACATACTGCTTCTACTAAGGGTTTTCTAGATTCTCTATCATTTCCAGTGCAGATATTCAAAGAATGTTACTTCTTCCTTCCTAATTTATATAGAGTTTTTTTCTTGCTTTATTTCACTGACTCCAGCATCTTGTACGATTTACATTTGAAAGGATGAGAAGACATGCTTGTTTTGTTTTGATATCAGGGTAATGTTGCTCTCAAAGAGTGGCAAACCATCCTGCCCACATCTATTTTCTGAAGTTGTTTTCATAGTACTAATGTTATGTCTGACTTATACGTGTGATAGATTTCACCCGTGAGACCCTGGGGATTTCTTTCTGAGAAAATCACAAATTCAGTTTTTGTTTGTTTTTGAGAGTGTGCAAGCAGGGGAGAGGGATAGAGGGAGAGAAAGAGACTTAAGCAGACTCCACACTCAGCATGGAGCTTGATGCAGGGCTCAGTCACATGACAGATCATGGCCTGAGCGGAGATCAAAGTCGGATGCTTAGCCAAAGAACCAACCAGGTGCCCCCAAATTCAATTTTTACCATAGATTAAACACTACTCTGATTTTTCTTGTGCCAAGTTTGGTAATGTGCGGCTCTTTCAAGGAATTACTTCTCTAGTACATTAAGTTATTGGCATAAAGTTCAAAACATTCTATTTTTTTTTTTTTTTTTATTTCTAGGAAAGAGAGAGAGAGAGAGACAGCGTGAGCAGGGGAGGGTCAGAGAGAGAGGGAGTCACAGACTGAAACAGGCTCCAGACTCTGATCTGGCAGTCAGCACAGAGCCCGATGCGGGGCACGAACCCACAAACCGCGAGATCATGACCTAAGCGAAAGTCGGACGCCTAACCGACTAAGCCACCCAGGCGCCCCCAAAACATTCTATTTTTATATTTTTGTGGATTCTGGTTTATATTCTATTTGAATTAGTTATATTGCAAATGATTTCTCCTCTTCCTGCTAATGGTGATTGGTGTCTTAAAAAAAATTTTTTTTAATGTCTTTTATTTATTTCTGAGAGAGAGCGAGATGGCGTGAGCAGGGGAGGGTCAGAGAGAGAGGGAGACACAGAATCTGAAACAGGCTCCAGGCTCTGAGCTGTCAGCACAGAGCCCAACGTGGGGCTTGAACTCACTAGCCGTGAGATCATGACCTGAGCCAAAGTCGGACGCTTAACAGACTGAGCCCCCCAGGCACCCCTGGTGTCTTCTTTTTTTTTTTTATTATTTTTATTTATGTCTAGGAGAGAGAGAGACAGCATGAGCAGGGGAGGGTCAGAGAGAGAGGGAGACACAGAATCCGAAACAGGCTCCAGGCTCTGAGCTGGCAGTCAGCACAGAGCCCGACGCGGGGCTCGAACCCACGAACCGAGAGATCATGACCTAAGCGAAAGTCGGACGCTTAACCGACTAAGCCACCCAGGCGCCCCAGGTGGTGTCTTCTTTTTGATCACCATGCCTAGGTATTCACCAATGTTATCGCTGCTTTCAAAGACACAGCTTTTGTTGTCTTTGATTTTTCTCCATTGTTTGTCCGTTTTCTAGGTCATTGAAATAGAATCATTTTATTTTTTTCCTTCCACTTTGAACTAATTTCCCCTTTTCTAGCTTATAGAAGTGGAAGCTTAGTCATTCGTTTTAGATCATTTTTTTCTCATATAAGCTCTGAAACTGACCAGTTTTCCTCTAAATGCTGCATCACTACAGCTACACTCCATAAATGTTGCTATGTTGTTTTCATCATCATTCAGTAAAAAGTATTTTCCTATTTCTCTTGGGATTTTTTTCCTTTGACTATGACTTATGTAGAAATCTTTTTAATTTCCAAATACTTGGCATTTTTGAGTTAGTCTTATTGCTGATTTCTGATTTATTCCATTATATAATCAGACAACATACGTCCCGTATTAACTCTTTGATTCAATACCTGTTTTATAGCGCTCCCTGTGCCTCTGCAAAGCACTTGCATCCCACCGCTGCCGCTTAGGCCAGTCTATCTGGTAGGTGTGTTCATGTTTTCTGTATCTTTCCTGATTTTCTTTCTACTTTTCTGTCACTGACAGAGGAATGTTGGAGTTGCCAGTTATGATTGGATTTGTCTTTTTTTTCCTTCGTGTTGTCAAATTTATGTATTTTGCACCTCTGGTTTGGGTTACATAAACATTTAGATTTGCTGGGCTTTTTAAAAAAATTTTTTAAATCCTTATTTTTGAGAGAGAGACAGAGTGTGAAGTGGGGGGGGGGCAAGAAGAGAGGGAGTCACATCTGAACCAGGTTCCATCTCCACAAACTGTGAGATCATGATTGAGCAGAAGTTGGATGCCCAACCAACTGAGCCACCAAGGCGCCGTGATTTGTTGGGTTTTTTGATGACTCTTTTGTCATTTAAAAGTGTCCATCTTTGGGGCGCCTGGGTGGCTTAGTCGGTTAAGCGTCCGACTTTCGCTTAGGTCATGATCTCGCGGTTCGTGGGTTCGAGCCCCGCGTCGGGCTCTGTGCTGACTGCCAGCTCAGAGCCTGGAGCCTGTTTCAGTCTGTGACTCCCTCTCTCTCTGACCCTCCCCTGCTCACGCTGTCTCTCTCTCTCTCCTGGAAATAAATAAAAAATATTAAAAAATAAAAATTAAAAAAAAATGAAAGTGTCCATCTTTGGTACTTTTTAAAAACCCAAAATTTGATGCTAATACAGCTGTTTTAGGGTTATGATTAGTGCTTCCAGGATATAATTGTACTTTTTTCTTTTAACCTATGTATGTCAGTATATTTTTTTATATATGTATGTCAGCTTTTTAAATTTTTTTAATGTTTTATTTTTATTTTTTTTTAAATGTTTTATTTATTTCTAGGAGAGAGAGAGAGACAACGTGAGCAGGGGAGGGTCAGAGAGAGAAGGAGTGACAGACTCTGAAACAGGCTCCAGGCTCTGAGCTGGCAGTCAGCACAGAGCTCAACGCGGGGCTCGAACCCACGAACCGCGAGATCATGACCTAAGCGAAAGTCGGACGCTTAACCGACTAAGCCACCCAGACGCCCCATGTTTTATTTATTTTTAAGATAGCGTGAGCAGGGAAGGGCCAGAGAGAGAGGGAGACACAGAATCCGAAGACAGACTCCAGGTTCTGAGCTAGCTGTCTGCACAGAGCCCGACGCAGGGCTTGAACCCACAAACCGTGAGATCATGACCTGGGCCAAAGTCAGACGCTTAACCGACTGAGCCACCCAGGCGTCCCTATATGTCAGTATATTTAAAGTGCATTTCTTGAAGCCTTAGTGGCTCAGTCAGTTAACCATCTGACTTTGGCTCAGGTCATGATCTCATGGTTCATGTGTTGGAGCTCCGCATCGGGCTCTGCACTGACATTGCATTGTCTCCTTGGGATTCTCTCTCTCCCTCTCACTCTGCCCCTCCCCAGCTTGTGCTTTCTCTCTCAAAATAAATAAACTTAGAAAAAAGAAAGGTTTTGTCAGTGGCTTTCAGGCATTTGGTTATGATGTGCCTTGCTGTGTTTTTTGTTTTATCCTGATTGGGGTTTATTGTTTTGGGATTTGTTTATCGGCTTTGGATTTATTATTTTCAGCAAATTTATAATCTTTCCCGTTACAGTTTCTGTGTGGCAGTGGGCGGGGTTGGGTGGTAGAGCAGCCAAGTCTTTCCTGCACTGGGGTGTGGGGAGTGCCCTGGTGTGCTGTGTGTGGTGGGCACGTGCTGTGGACCAAGTTGTGGGGTGGGAGGGGCTTGGGGCTGGGCATCTACAGTCCCCAGGGATTACAGGGACATTGATCAGCACTTGGGCTAAGAGGTCTCCTGTGCACTGGACTCCTGGAACCCCAGTTGTCCTCATGCCACTGTCCCCGTGCCAAGGGAATGAGCCAAAGCCATGTGCCCGAGCATGTGCCCTGCTCGGTAGGGTCTTCCCATCTGCGAACCAGGCCCACTGTGCTTTCTGTGTGGGGTCTGTACCCCCTCCCAGCTCTTCCTGGGATGGCACTAGCCCTCTAAGTCAGCCCTCTTGCCCCCCCCACACACACACACATGGCGGGCTAGGGCTCCCCAGCTGCCTGACCCTTGACAAGTACCAGGATAACAGCAGCAGGCAGAGCCCTCAGGAGAAATAAGATCAGCCCAGGCTATGGTTCAGCATCACCGGCAGAATTTTTAATTTTTTTTATTTTATATTTTTAAACATTAAATTAAATTTTTAATTTTTATTTATTTTTGGGAGACAAAGAAAAGCAAAAATATATCTGTATAGTACTTCATAAATTTAAATAAAGACTTGTACATCAAAGGGCACTATCACAGACTAAAAGGCCACAATGGGAGAAAAATATTTGCACATATCTAATAAAAGATTAATACCCAGAATATATAAAGAACTCCTAAAAACAGCAATAACAAAACTGAATTCAAAAATGGGCAAAGGACTTCAATAAACGTCTCTCCAAAGAAGATATTTCTGCATTTTTTTAAAAGTTTATTTATTTTGAGACAAAAGCCATGAGTGCCCGCAGAGGAGGGGCAGAGAGGGAGAGAAGAAAATCCCATGCAGGTTCTGCACTGTCAGCACCAGAAGCCAATACGGGGCTCGAACTCAAGAAGCCATGAGATCACGACCTGAGCTGAAATCTAGAGTTGGACATTTAATGGTACTGTCACAAAAACAGACACTCAGATCAATGGAACAGAATAGAGAACCCAGAAATGGACCCACAAACGTATGGCCAACTAATCTTTAACAAAGCAGGAAAGAATATCCAATAGAATAAAGACAGTCTCTTCAGCAAGTGGTGCTGGGAACACTGGACAGCGACATGCAGAGAAATGAACTTGGATCACTTTCTTACACCATACACAAAAATAAACTCAAAATGGATGAAAGAACTAAATGTAAGACAAGAAGCCATCAAAATCCTCGAGGAGAAAGCAGGCAAAAACCTCTCTGACCTCAGCTGCAGCAACTTCTCACTCAACCCGTCTCTGGAGGCAAAGGAAACAAAAGCAAAAATGAACTATTGGGACCTCACCAAAATAAAAAGCTTCTGCCCAGTGAAGGAAACAATCAGCAAAACTAAAAGGCAACCGATGGAATGGGAGGAGATATTTGCAAATGACATCTCAGATAAAAGGTTAATGTCCAAAATCTATAAAGAACTTATCAAACGCAGTGGCCAAACAACAAATAGTCCAGTGAAGAAGTGGGCAAAAGGCATGAATAGACACCTCTCCAAAGAGAACATCCAGATGGCCAACCGACACATGAAACAATGTTCACTCATCATCAGGGAAATACAAATCAAAACCCCAATGAGATACCACCTCACGCCTGTCAGAACGGCTGACATTAACAACTCAGTTGTTGTCCAGGATGCAGAGAAAGAGGAACCATTTTGTGCTGCCGGTAGGAATGCAAACTGGTGCAGCCACTCTGGAAAACAGTATGGAGGTTCCTCAAAAAATTAAAAATAGAACTACCCTTCGGTCCAGCAATTGCACTACTAGATATTTATCTGAGGGATACAGGTGTGCTGTTTCAAAGGGGCACATGCACCCCAATGTTTATAGCAGCGCTGTCAACAGCCAAAATATAGAAAGAGCCCAAGTGTCCATCGATGGATGAATGGATAAAGAAGATGTACACACACACACACACACACACACACACAATGGACTATATTACTCAGCATTCAAAAATGAAATCTTGCCATTTGCAGCTATGTGGATCAAACTAGAGGGTATTATGCCAAGTGAAATTAGTTAGAGAAAGACAAATGTCATAGGACTTCACTCATATGAGGACTTTAAGATACAAAACAGATGAGCATAAAGGAAGGGAAGCAAAAATAATATAAAAACGGGGACAAAATATAAGAGACTCTTAAGGGGCGCCTGGGTGGCTTAGTCGGTTAAGCGTCCGACTTTCGCTTAGGTCATGATCTCGCGGTTCGTGGGTTCGAGCCCCGCGTCGGGCTCTGTGCTGACTGCCGGCTCAGAGCCTGGAGCCTGTTTCGGTCTGTGACTCCCTCTCTCTCTGACCCTCCCCTGCTCACGCTCTCTCTCTCTCTCTCCTAGAAATAAATAAAAAATATATTAAAAAAAAAAAAGAGACTCAAATATGGAGAACAAACAGGGTTACTGGAGGGGTTGTGGGAGCGGGGATGGGTTAAATGGGTGAGGGGCAGTAAGGAATCTACTCTGAAATCATTGTTGCACTAACTGCTAACTAACTTGGATGTCAGTTTTAAAAAAGACATTAAAAAAGTTGGACACTTAACTGTTGGGCCGGCTGAGAGGTGGGGCAGAGACCACAGAATGGCAGACCTTCTTAGGCTGGCTGACCTTCCCACCACTACATCAGTGGCCGTTACTACATCGGCGGGAAACAGAAATTTAAACCTTCCAACCCTGGTCTTTCCAGTCAAGAGACTGTCCCTGTTATCTGAATGCCCACTAACAGGCTATAAACCACCACCACCACCCAACCAGGCCGCGACTTCCCCGACTGGAGTCGACTTCTTCCTCTCTGGAGTCGCAGAACCTCGCCCGAGGACACAGGCAATAAAACTGTCCCCATAAATTTTCTCGCCTTGGTCGAGGGTGCAGGCAATAAAACTCCTTCTGCAGAACCTTTTGCCTTGGAGTCTTTTTTCACTCAAAAACCTTACATTAACCAGCTGAGCCACCCAGGAGCCCCTCAAAAAAGACATCTGAGTGGCCAATAATCACACCAGAAGACACTTGATGTCCTTAATCACTAGGGAAATGCGTACCCAAACCAAGTGAGAAATACCACACACCCACTGGGATGGCTGGCGTGAAAAATAAGTACCAAGTGTTGGCGAGGATGTGGAGAAGTTGGAACCCTCAGGTTCAGTGGAGGGGAATGTAAGGTGGTCCAGCCCCTTTGGAAAACAGTACAACTGGTCCTCCAAAATGTTTAAATAGAATTACCGTTTAACCCCTCAACTCCACTTCTGTGTAAATACTCAAAAGAAATGAAAGCAGGAACTTGCAGAGATACTTGCACACCCACGTCCATAGCACTATTACTCACAACAGCCAAAGGGTGGAAGCCATCCAGGTGTCCATCAAGGGATGCACGGATACACAACATGCGGCTTAGCCATACAATGGAATATTACTCCATCCTAAAATAGCCCGGGGCACGTGCTGCAACATGAGTGAAGTGTGAGGGCTTCTGCAAGTGAAACGAGGCCGTCACAAAGACCAATATCGAACGATTCCACTGAATGTGAGGCGTTTAACCATTAAGACCAGAGGGCGAAGAACGTTGCCAGGGACTGAGGGGAGGAAGTGGCTGTTTGATGGATACAGAATCCCTCTTTTGCGAGATCCAGAGGTTGGAGCCTAAACGGAAACACGGTGAATGTTAAAAGTGCACTGTGAAGTCAAAAATAGTTAAGACGGGGAATTTTAAGTTACGTGTCTTTCACAATCAAACATAAGACCCCACCGGCCGGGCGGGTTGCGAGCTCGCACCGCAGCGGGCGGTGGGCGGCGGAGCTGGCGTCCGGTGGCTTCCGGGGAGACGGCAGCACGAGGGGCCGGGGGTGGCGGGGGCCGGGCTTCGGTGGGTGATTGAGGGACGCTGCACTACCCAGGGGGAGGGGCCCCTGAACCGAAAGCTTCCAGAAGCGACGCCATGGCCCTTTAGTCGCCGCGCCCCGCAGCCCTGGTGAAGGGATGGAGCCCGCGGAGCGGCCAGCACTCTGGAGGCGCGGCGGAGGGCTGCGGCGGGTGAGCGAGGGCGGGAGGTGAGCACAGCCGGGGAACGAGGGCCCCAGGGGACAGTCGCTGCGGCGAAGCCAGCCACCCTCCAGGCGGCCCGCGCGCACCACCGAGATGCGCCTCGGGGCGGGAGCGTCGCTTCCGGCGGCGGGAGGAGCGCTTCCGCCTGGGAAGAGCGGCGGCGGCTGCGGCCCGGGGCGGTCCTCCGAGGGTCCCTGACCGTCCGTCCCAAACACCCGGCCCTCCACGCCCCGCTCTGTGCCCCTCCCCGGCGGCCCCACCGGGAAGGTGGGTGTCCCCAGGTGGGAGCCCCTTCCTCCCGCCCGCGCTCCGCCGTTCCCGGTGCCGGGTGTCCTCGCGGCCGCTGCGCGCCGTTCCCGCCCTCGGTGTCCGCGGCCGGCTTCCCCGCCCCCACCGCCCCGCAGCACTTCGATTTGTCCACCTCGAGGGACCTTTCCAAAATGGAACTTGTCCCCGTGCGGCGGCGGTGCGGGGGTCCGGGCTGCGGTTCCGGCCGTCGCTCGTGCGGTGCGTCCCCTCCCCCGCTTGTTTGCAGCTCACGGGGTCGCCCCGGTGGTGGCGCGCGGTGGGCGCCCGGCTCGCGGGGCTGCGCGGAGTCCTTCGCGGGCGTGGCCACTAAGCCCCCGGGGAGCGCAGTGCCTCCGCCAAACTCTCGGGAGCGGGGCTCGATGCTCCGTCTCGTGGGTCCTTTGGTGAAGCCTTCACGTATTTTGCTCATTTTAAGCTTTCTTTCGTTTGTTTGTTTTGTTTTGTTAATGATTTGTAGGATTTCTAGTTCTGGATAGGAGTCTTTTCTCATAGATGTGTATTGAGAATATTTTCTCCCAGGCTGCGACTTGCTTGAACTGTCTTTTGATACGCAGAAAAAAAAAATTTTTTTAATGTTTATTTTTGAGGGAGACCGTGAATGGGGGAGGGGCAGAAAGAGAGGGAGACACAAAATCCGAAGCAGGTTCCAGGCTCTGAGCTGTCAGCACAGAGCCCGACACGGGGCTCGAACCCACGAGCCATGAAATCATGACCTGAGCTGAAGTTGGACACCTTACCGACTGAGCCACCCAGGCGCCGCTGGATTTCCTATTTTTAGAGCAGTTTTAGGTTTACTGAAAAAAACTGATCAGAAAGTATTGTTCCCATATCCCCCCACCTCAGTTCCTCCCATTACCCTCCACCTTGCATTAATGCAGTTCACCTGCTAATACCAGTGAGCCAATACCGATCCGTTATTAACAAAGCTGCACAGTTTCCCTCAGGGCTCACTCTTGGCCCGTGCGTGCTGCGGGTTCGGACAGGTGTGTAATGACGTGTGCCCACTATCAGAGTGTCACACGGAGCAGTTTTACTGCCCTGAATCCTCTGTGCTGACCGTCCCTCCCATACCCCCCAGCCCCTGGCCCCCTCTCATCTTTTACTGTCTCCACAGTTTGCCTTTTCCAGAATGTCACAGACTTGGTGTCATACCGTGTGTAGCCTTCTCAGACTGGCTTCTTTTGCCTCATAATACGCATTTAGGGTCCCTCCTGGCTCGATAGCTTGTTTCTACTTAGTGCCGACTAGAATCCCGTTGTCCGAATGGACCACAGGTTGTTTATCTGCTCACCTGCTGACAGACACCTGGGCTATCCCGGGTTTGGGGACTCTGAATGAAGCCTCTATAAACTCCGTGTGCAGGTTGTCGTGTGGACATCATTTTCAACTCTCTGGAGTAAATACCAGGCAATGTGACTGCTGGATCGGATGGAAAGAGAGTGTTCAGTGTGTGAAAAACTGTTAAACCATCTTCCATAGTGGCTGCCCCATTTTGTGTCCCCACCAGCCACGAGTGAGTGTCTGTGTGGCTTCGTATCCTCACCTGCGTGTTGTGGTGTTAGTGTTTTGGATTGTAGCCATTCTAACAAATGTGTGTTTACTTGTTCTAAATGCTTTGGATCTTTAGTCACAAAGGATGACTTTCCAGACCAGCCTGATGCATGAAAGCCCTTTACTTGTTCAGAATCCACCTGACCCCTGACATGGCTTTCACCCAAGGGCTGGGTCCCCCTGTGTGGAGGCATGACTCAGCCAGCTGACCCGGGATCCAGGCCCAGGCAGGGAGGACCAGGCTCCTGGCCACACCTCATGGCTGCTCACTTACCTGCTCTCTGGTCACTGCCTGTGTCAGCACCCACCCAGGCCCTGCCCGGCTAGGAACAGTGAACCCAGGGGCACTGTCCTTACCATGGCCTTCACTGAACCTGAGGGCCCTCCCCTGGGACTTGGTGTCCCTCCTGCCCCTGCTGAAGTGATTAGAAGCTGAATAGGGTCATTGGCTCTTCGTGGGGGGCGGGGGGAGGACAGAGCATGGCTGCAGGTGGGCTCACTCTGGTCCTCACTCTTTGGACTGGCCTGAAGGTCCTGGGAAAGAATGTAGGCAGTGATGGGAAAACCCCATGTCACCCACCTGGTGAGCAGTGGTGACTTGGAGCAGGAGCCACAGTGCAGTGGACAGGTGTGCAGGGGACAGAGGAGGGTGGTTGTCACAATCTGAAGGAGCCCCGGACTGGAGGTGCCCACTTGAGTCTTCCACTGCTGGGTCTCCCACAGGCTGGGTGTCCCCTGGAGCCCAGCCTCAGGAGCTGAGGGCTCACACTCTCCTCTGTCCCCAGAGTGTTTTGGGGGCAGCAGCTGGACAGGGCAGACCAGGGCTGTGTTGGAGCAGCTTGTTCAGAGGGAGAAGTCAGAAAGTTGCTCAAGGAATAAGGGAGGAGCAGAAGTGGCCCAGCAGGATTGTTACAGTAAACATCCTCGAAGCACAAGTTACATACAGACTTGTCCCAAGTGGGGAGTGTGCAGCTAGATGGGTTCTCACAAAGAAAGCAATGTGGGTAATCTTGTTATCAGTAGGTTCTAAACCAGGAAGGTATGATGGAAATTTAAAAAACTCTAAGGGGTAGGAGGAGGGTACATGTATTCATCATCTTCATGAATCATAAACTGAAATGTGCATGGTCGCACCCCTCAGGTGACCACTGGCAGAGAGGAAGAACAGGGTTTCCACACGAGTAGAGAGAAGCAGATAAAATGGGGGGAGCAGTTCACGTGAGACATGAACAGAGAGAAAGAAAAGTACAGTAAGTATAAAATAAACTGATAAAAAAGTACTGTTTATATATACATATATATAATGGACGCCCATAGAAAGGGACATGTAAGACAAACCAACAGAGAGCCGAGCACCCACATTAATAACAGACAGGCTGTGGGCAGAGGCAAGAAAGAACATTGCAGGCTGATAAAAGGTTCAATTTACGAGAAAGAGCTAGTGATCTAAACTTGTATGCAATTAATAATTGCTTCAAAAATACGTAAATAAAAATAGCAGAACTACAAAGAGAAATTGACAAATGCCTACTCTGATGTCTCTCACTATTTCATGGAAATCAGTGGGGTAGCGTGTCTTGACAAGGGATGTCTGGGCAGAAGAGAGACTGGAGTGTCAGTTGCTCAAGGAATGCCCGAGATGAAGAAGCATGGGGCACGCTGCTGCTTGTTAGCCTCATAATTACGAAGAAACTCTATCTTGACTTAACACTTCAGATTAGAATAGGGGTTTGAACAAGGTCTATATGTTGCACTTAATGGAAATGTATCTTAAGTCTGCTAATGCATAACAATGTCCCCTCCCTCTTTAAAAAAAATTCCTTCCATTTATTTTTTGGGAAAAAGCAGTCATTTGGCCTATAGAGAATTTGGATGATTACATCCTTACTCTCTTTTTTAATATGTTCCTTTTCCCCCTGTATTTTGTATACATTAGTAGTTATATCCAGAAACTTGATTAGCAACTTTTTTTATTTAAAAAAAATTTTAGGGGTGCCTGGGTGGCTCAGTCGGTTAAGTGTCCGACTTTGGCTCAGGTCATGATTTCACGGTTCATGGGTTTGAACAGAGAGGGTTCTGTGTCTCCCTCTCTGACCCTCCCCTGCTCACGCTGTCTCTCTCTCTCTCTCAGAAATAAATAAAGCATTTAAAATAAAAAAAATTAATGTTTATTTATTTTTGAGACAGAGAGACAGATGATGAGCAGGGAACAGGCAGAGAGAGGGAGACACAGAATCGGAAACAGGCTCCAGGCTCCAAGCTGTCAGCACAGAGCCTAACGCAGGGCTCGATCTCACAAACTATGAGATTGTGAGTTGAGCTGAAGTCGGATGCTCAACCGACTGAGCCCAAGATCAACTTTTAAAAAATCTTTATTTATTTTTGAGAGAGTGCGAGCGGGGGAGGAACAGAGAGGGAGACACAGAATCTGAAGCAGGCTCCAAGCTATCAGCGCAGAGCCTAACACAGAGCTTGAGTTCACAAACCATGAGATCATGACCTGAGCCAAAGTCCGATGCTTGGGGCGCCTGGGTGGCTTAGTCGGTTAAGCGTCCGACTTTCGCTTAGGTCATGATCTCGCGGTTCGTGGGTTCGAGCCCCGCGTCGGGCCCTGTTCTGACTGCCAGCTCGGAGCCTGGAGCCTGTTTCAGTCTGTGACTCCCTCTCTCTCTGACCCTCCCCTGCTCACGCTGTCTCTCTCTCTCTCTCTCTCTCTCCTAGAAATAAATAAAACATTAAAAAAAACAAAAAACAAAGTCCGATGCTTAACCAACTGAGCCACCTAGGCACCCTGATTATATCAGTTTTGTTTCTCATCAAGAGTGCTCTGTGTTGCACTGCACAGGATTATTGCTTCACGCCAGGAGGTACTTAATATCTGTTAGCAAAGTTAGGGTCACTCATGGTTTCATAGGGTCAGCTGAATCCTCCATTTCTTCATCAGTCTTCTACCTGGCTTTCACTACCATCATGACATTCCCAATTATTTCTTCTGCATTTATTATACGGAATTCTATATATAACTTCCTTTCACCAATTTATCCTGAGATACAGTTCATAGGGGAAAGGCAGAATGGATGTGATTCTTCATTTATCAATTTTTAGAATGATGGGTTATTGTACTAGCAACCGTCAAGACGACCCATGGAATGGGTGCTTATACTGTTTTAAACTTATGCATTTTATATATTTGATATGTTTCTATTCAGTACAGCCATTATTCTTTTTTTTTAATATTTTTATTTATTTCTAGGAGAGAGAGAGACAGTGGGAGCAGGGGAGGGTCAGAGAGAGAGGGAGTCACAGACTGAAACAGGCTCCAGGCTCTGAGCTGGCAGTCAGCACAGAGCCCGACGCGGGGCTCTAACCCACGAACCGCGAGATCATGACCCAAGCGAAAGTCGGACGCTTAACCGACTAAGCCACCCAGGCGCCCCCAGCCATTATTCTTTTTGATGCTGAAATTATTGACTCTGGCCGTTCAGAGTCTTTCACTTTTGTCACCCTGTCCCTCCGGCAGGTCCCTCTCTGGGAGCAACCTTGCTTTCTGGCACAAGATATCCTAAACTCATTTTGTATTATTTCCTTCCCCAAATCTCAAAGGAGCCCTAGTTCCTTTTAAACAGAAATGGTGAACTCTTCCAAGAGTGTGTTTACTGCTGGCGGGGGGGGGGGGGCTAGGTGCACTGCTCACCCAGAACATTTAAAATCTCACGGTGGGGGAGGGCCAGCCAGAGCATACGAAACCCCAAATACAGCTAGGTGAGGCAGGATGGGGTTTCTGCCCATTTCCTCTGGGTGGTTCACCCTCATTGTGCGCTCTGCTATTAAAAGCTCCGTTTTACACCTGTGATCTGAACTCCTGCCTCCACCGGGCCCAGGTCCAGCCCTGGTTGCACCCGCCCTGATCATCCCTAGGGCCCTCCAGCGTGGGCTGTGAAAATTCACCAAGGCAAACCTCGTTTCGAACGCAGCGGGATGGAGCCGGGAGGCCAGCAGGGGGAGCTCTCGCTGCCCTTTCGTCTTGTCAATTGCAGACCCAGGTGGGACCCTGCCGGTCACTACTTTGCGGCCCCACCAGGGGCCGCCCTGCCGGCAGCTCAGCCAACGCGCAGCCACTACACTTTCAGCTCTGTTTACTCCAAAGGACTTTTTGTTTACAACAACCGCGCCCAGCTCCTCCTTTCTTCTATAAAAGGGTGTTCAGTTCCTTTGTTCCGAGGCCTCGCCTGTGGCCTTGCCCTCCCTTGCTTGTCTGGGGCTGCAATTCTCTGCTCTTCCTGAACAAACCTATTTCTGCTGGTAAAATACCTGGCATTTTTATTTTTAAAGTTAACAAGGCCATCGGGGTTTGCTGTTTGGACCCATGGTCCGTGCGCCCCGGTGGGGGGCTGCTCTTCGGAGCCCCATAGGCCGCACCGGGTGTGCACCCTCCTGCCAGAAGTGCACCCGCCAGCCTAGCCACGGCCACCCCGTTTGGGCCTCTCCAGCACTGGGCACCAGTGTGCAACCACAGACCCAGAATTTTCAGGAACCATCCCTCGGTGCTCAGGATGAAGCCCCTCGCCCTTGGCGGGTATTGACGGTGCCCAGGGCTTGGGCTCTCCCAAACATGGGACCCCCAAACATGGCTGTGGCTGAGTACAGACCACAACTGTGAGGCGTCTTAATAACCAGCCTCTGCACATTGAGACTGACAACTAGATGCGGTGTGTGGCCCCGGCAGAGGGGTGGCTGCAAAAACACCGTGGGGACAAGTGATATCATTCCAGGGGGTCTGTGGCTCAGCTAATACTGTTTTCTCTGTGCTGAGTTTCCGGATTTGGATCATTGTCCTGGGGTAGGAGAGCTGCCTGTGCTCAGGAACATGGAAGGATTTAAAAGTGGAGGGGCAGGCGTCTTGAGCCTAATCTCAGGTAGTTCAGGAGAAAATGCAGGTTCGGCGGCAGGGGCGGAATGCCGACTGCTGGCGAGTACCTGGTGACACGGGAGTTATCTGTGCTCTGCAACTTTTCTCCAAGTTGGAAATCATGTTCAAATTACAAATTACCCCCAAATCCTCAATAGGTTCAAAATAAACCCTCTATGGTCCCCGTGGGGCTGGAGACAATCCCCCCCCCCCCCCCCCCCGCCGGCCGGCCCTCCCGACCACAGCGCACCCCGGGCTGGCCCCCGGGAGCCCACGCTGGCCCTCCCGGGCGGTGCGACTCCTTTGCTGCTCTTACACCTTCTGTCGGCGCCGGCGATGTCCGCCTGCGTCAGCCCTGGTGGGAGGACCCTGGGGTGGCCGTCTTCTCTGTCCGCGGAGCAGCTGAGGTCAGCTGTGGAGCAGAGGAAGGCCAGTTCCCCGCAGACATACAGGGCGAGGGGCGCATCAGGCTACTTTGCGGCTTGGAAGCCAGAACGAGTGGCCCCTGTGCCGCCAGAAACGCTGCAGCGGGAGAGCAGGCCGTGCGGAGCCGTGAGCGGGTCACACCTTTATTAACACCGAGTTCACCAAACGCCTGAGCGCCGCGCGCCCTCCCCTCCACACGCCCTCCACGGCCCCCGTGGGGCGGCTTCCCCAGCAGCGTCAGTGTCCACGGTCTCCTGCGTCTGGGCGGCCGGAAGAGCCTGGCCCCGGGACAGAGTTGGCAGAGGAGGTGGTGTCCCGCGAGACCCCCTGTAATGAGGCCCGCGTAGAGACCTGGGAGCCTGGGCGCGACGGGGTCAAGGACAGGACTCCGGAGGCCTGATGGTACGCGACCAAGGATGGGCGCCCGGAGCCCGCGCGCAACGGGGCCTGGAATGAAACCCCTGAACCCGCCTTTGATGGGGCCCTGGAGCCCACACTCGGGAGCCATGTCGGGACCTGGGAGGGCTCGCGCGATGGGACTGTGGAGGCGGCGAAGGTCCCCTGACGCGTGGCGGGCCGCGATGGCGACGGTGACGGTGGCGGCGGCGGCCGCCAGAGCGGCGGGCCCTCTGGGCCCCTGCGCAGCCAGCCGTGCACACGAGCCAGGTCCCGAGTGTCCTCGTGCTCGCGCCACAGCTGCTCACGCTGCTCCAGCAGCTGGCGCCGCGTGGCGTGCAGCAGCTGGGCCCAGCCGAGCAGCCGCAGCAGCTCCTGCCGCAGGCGCACGTTGTCAGCCTTGACCGCCTGCGTGTGCGCGACGAGCGCGCGCGCCGCCTCTCGCTCCGCGCGCCGCGCCAGGGACTGCACGCGCAGCCGCGCCTCGCGCTCGAAGGCCGCCTTGTCCTCCAGGAAGCGCCTTTTCACACGGTGAAGCAGCTGCGTGTGCTCCACGCGCATGTGCAGCAGCTCGCGCTCCAGCGCCCGGATCCGGGCCAACTGCTCCAGCTGCAGCTCCTGCGGCGGGGGCGCGGGTCAGCGCTGGGCCGCGGCGCCCCCACCCCGCCCGCCGGGCTCGCCCGCGCGCGCACTCGCCTTGTAGGGCTGCAGCTCCTGCACCTGCCGCGCCAGCCGCGCCGCGCGCCCCTCCATCTCCAGCAGCTGCGCGCGCACTCCGTCCTGGCGCCCGTGGTAGAGCGACTCGAGCTCGGCCCGCTGACAGTGGATCTGGGTCAGGTCCGCGCGGTTCTGGTCTTCCAGGCGGACGACGGCTTGGGCGCAGCGCTGCGCGCGCGCGCTCGCGTAGCTGGCGTAGAGCCGGTTCTCCTCGCGCAAGCGCAGCGCCTCCCCGTCCAGGAAGGCGTTCGCCTCGATCACCCGGTCCACGCGCGCCTCGCAGGCGTCCAGCTGCTCCGAGAGCCGCTTGTACTCGCGCTGCAGGTGCTGCGCACGCTCCGACAGCGGCGGCTCGGCCGCGTCTCCCGCCGCGCCCGGCCTGCGCCCCGCGCTGGGCCCGCCCCTCTTGGGAGCCATGAGTGGGGCTGCGGCGCGGGCACGCGTGAAGGCCTGCCCCAGCCCGCTCCTCCAGCTCAGCCCTTCCGTCCCCCGGCCCCAAAATCCTAGCGGGGTGGGACGCGTCTCAGGCACAGGAGGTTGAGGGAGGCAGAATCAGGGGTGCGGGGGTCAGGACACCATCTCCGACCTTTACTTTTGGGGCTTCCCCGGACCTTGGCGGTCGGCCGTCGGGATGTGCCCACCTCAGCAACGTTGGCGTTCAGCCTGCACGATCTCCGTGGAGACCGAACTTAGTCGCCCTCCCCCACTCCCTCCCCGTCGCTGGGGCAACGGCCCGGCTTCCCCTTCCACCTTCTCCCCGCACCCTCGCCCGAAGTCCGCGCGTGACAGGCCCGTGGGCGCCCCCTGCAGAGGGCCGGCCCCAGACAGCCTTCCGGGGGCGGACGCTGGACTTGCCTCCGAACCGGACCCAGCAGCAGCCCAGGTGGTCCCCACTGTTCACGTGCCAGACTTGGGCCCTTCGCCGTCTGTCCACCAGGGGACCCTCACCCCCGGCGCCCCCAGTTTCCGACCTCCAGACGCGGGCAAGCCCCCACCCCCCGTGTGACACTTCCCTCCATCTTGTCAGGACAGAGTGTCCCCACAACTTTCATCTCTCTGGGGATCCTAGTTTTCCTCGAAGCACTTGGTGATTCTTTGCCCTCTTTCTGGAAGCCTCCATGGGAGTTGACGTTAGTGGGAAGATCGTGTCCATTCGGACGCCATCAGTTGTCCACTGCGTTTCTCTCTGGATTTTGTCCGTGGGGCCCCTAAGCCCACTCGTGTGCACCTGTTCAGCTCGTCCCGCTCAGCTGCTCGCTCTTTTTTTTTTTTTTTTTTAATGTTTACTTATTTTTGAGAGAGAGGGACAGCGCATGAGTGGAGCAGGGGCAGATAGAAGGGAGACGTGGAATCCGAATCAGGCCCCGGGCTCTGAGGGGTCAGCACAGAGCCGAAGCGGGGCTGGAACTCACACATCCTGACATCAGGAGCTGAGCCGAAGTCCCACGCTTGACGGGCGAGCCCCCGGGGCCCCCCGACTCCCCGCCTGGCTGGCCGGGGCGGCGCTTGCTCTTTTTGCTCTTGACCTTGTGTAAACAACACAGTGACCCCACCGTTAATTCAGTCTTGGCCAGACGGCGAGCGGTGCTAACAGCGCCGGCGGCCGCAGGTCCCGCCTGCCGTTCCGTGAATCGCGTGGGAAAGAGGCGCGTCCCTACCGCCTTGACCTGCAACCTAAATCTACACCTGCTTCCGTCCTGGCATCATGTGCTGCAATACGGAAGACGGGGAACGGTTGCCTTGAGAGCGCGTGAGGAGCACGACGTGAGGGAGCCCACATTCGCGGGAGGCGTGTGCGGACCACCGACCTCGGGTGGTTTTGGAGCCGTGCGAATCCTCTCCCCTCCCTGGACTTGCCTCCCTAGCTACGCCTGCGGGAAAGCGTGGCAGAGCCTCTGAAAATGCCGAACACAAAAGAGGCATTTTCTTCCTAGGGTAAAAAAAAAAAAAAAAAAACTAAATAAAAATAAAATGACATACATTCAAGACAATGCAGAATCCCCTTTTAACGTTAACATTTTGAAGAAATGTTGATTCATAAACTCCTCACACAGCACATGAATGTCAGCCCTTAATGATAATGGTGTTTTTAATAGGAAATTGGCGCCTAACTTTTTACAGAGACTTAGGAAAAGGCCACGGGAGGCACCCGGGACCCTGCAGCGGGGGCTCCACGGGGCCCAATTAGGAGGTGTTGCTTCCATCTCCTGGGCCCGCGGCTTCCGACCGACCGGGGTCTCCCCTCCCAGGCCATCCCGCGGCTCCAGGCCGCCCAGCCCCTCCCGGGCGTGCGTGCGTGCGTGTGTGCGTGCGTGTGTGTGCGTGTGTCTGGTTGGCCTCGCCGTTTAATGCCTGGTGCGAGGCGAGGGGCTCCATGGGCAGAGGATTTTAAGCTGTCCCAGCCTTCCGGATTTCCCGCGGATTTGTCCCCGCTTTACGGCTCGCAAATGCCCGCTCCCAAGACGGGTCCGCCGAGCATTTTCTTCTGCTCTGCCTCCCGTTTCCTCGAGACTCGCTGCTTCCCGATTCTGCAGTCCCCACGGACCAGTGTGGCGAGCGCGTGGGGGGCGCCCGCGTGCCCCCGGGCCACCCCCTGACCCGGCCCGGCCCCGCCTCGCCCGCAGCCGGCGGCCGCGGTCGCCACCACCAAGCCACGCCCAACTCCCGCTCGGCTCCCGCCCCGCGCTGGCCCCGCCCCGCGCTGGCCCCGCCCCGCGCTGGCCCCGCCCCGCGCTGGCCACGCCCCGCGCTGGCCACGCCCCGCGCTGGCCACGCCCCGCGCTGGCCACGCCCCGCGCTGGCCACGCCCTCACCGGAGTCCGGGCCGCGGTGCGCGGGACTAGGGGACGGCGCGGACCCCGTTTCCTCTGCTTCCTCGCGCTTGCTCCGCGCCGCAGGCCTCGGGGCTCATGGCTGATTCCAGGGACAGTGCCTGGCCTGAAGGCAGGCCGAGAGGCACCCCTCAACCCTACCCCACCCCCAGGGGCCTTTCCTGTGCTGCGGAAGGGGTGTCTCTGGCGCCCACCAGGTACCACGGCCGCCCACGGAGACAGCTGACCTCCGAGAGCTCAGATTTAAAGTCAGGCTTTACCTGTGTCATTTCTTCCCCACCCCCCACCCCCCAGCTCCGTGAATAGGGTCGTGGGGCCAAGACTGTTTCTCCCTCAGGCTCAGGCTGAGGAGGGTGTGGCGTGAAGGGTCACTCACCTCCTAGCAGAACACCGAGCTGGAAAAACACCGGGAGAAAGGGGGATGGCTTCTGGTCGGCTCCCGCCCGGGCTGCCCCTCCCCCACGCCGCGCCGCGGCCCTGGCCGGTGCCGCCCCAGCTCTGCCGGGGGCTTGCTGCGGCCCCACGAGGTTGCTGCTCACACGGCTGCTCAGGCTGCTCAGCACCCACCACGCACACAGCCACACCCCCACCTACAGGCGAGCTTCTCAAGGGCCCACGCTCCTGCCCCTTCTTGCCCGTGCTCCTGTCTTGGACGCCCTGCCTGCTCAGCTGCTGAGACTTGGGGTGAGCCCCTCCCTCAGGAGTGGCCTGTGGGGCTGGGCTGGGCCTGACCCCGGGACGAGCACTTCCAGCAGCCTCTGCTCCTGTCTCACAGATGGAGAAACTGAGGCACAAGGTGATTTTTTTTTTTTTTTTGTCCAAGGACCCCTGGGAGCACTAGGGCTGTGACTTGGACGCTGGGGGCTCTTCCGCCATATTTACCGCCTCTTGCCAAGTCTTTCCCCGACCCCTGCCCTGTGTCCTGATGCAGGGGGCAGAGCCAGCTGCTGTTACTGGACCCGCCCCGCAGCAGCCTAAGCCAGTACATGCCTGGTGCCCACGGCCCTTCTTCCTGTAGAATGGGTGGATTCAGGCAATACCAAAACCTCTTCCTGAAGCTCAGCCCTGCTGGGAGCCTGATGCTCACAGGGCAGCCAGATACAGAGCGGAGCGTGGTCAGAGGAAGGCACCCTGGGGAGCCTGGTGGCAGGGGGGCCCCAGCCCCACCCCAGGACCTCGACTTTGATCCGAAGCACAGCGCTGATGGTGATCACCATGGCAAAGGGGATGATGGGCAGGACCGTGAGCAAAGTCCGGGAGAGCCTGTCTCTCCAGTGTGCCTCTGGCTGGGGCCCCGGAGAGCCCAGGCCTGGCTGTTCCCTGGGCCCTGGGTGGGACCAAATCTGTCCCCTTGCCTGTGTCCTAATTTGGGTACCACCTGCAGGCCTGCCCCCCACACCCTCAGCCCCGGGAACTGGCTTTAGCCTGGGCATGTGGGCAGAGACCCTTCTTCCTCAAGTAACCCCCCTTCGCCCCAGGGACCTTGGGACCGGTGCCAGCCCCGCAGCAGGCTCAGTCAGCCCCAGGTGGAAAGCCCAGATCCAGGCCATGGTGTGCGTCAGCTCCCACAGCCACGGGCGCCCCCGGAGGGAGCACTCTGTCCCCCCCGGCACTCGGTGCGGGTGCAGTGGGGGCCCGGGGGGCCCTGCCACACGTTGGCAGGAGCAAAGACAGGCCCGAGCCAGCGGGAGCCGCCCGAGTGTGCATGCGGCACGCGGAGGCCAGGTGGGGCTCCGGGGCGATGCTGCTTCGGGGACCCAGGGCTCTGGCCTGCTCCGGGGCAGCAGGGTCGCAGCTCCGGGCAGGCTGATGACCCCTGAAGGCCTCTCTGGAGCCCAGGCCCTGAGGGCTTGCCTCCCTGCTCCTCCTCGTCGGAGGGGGTCAAGCCAGGCAGGCTGGGGCTCGGGGTGGGGCCCAGGTCGGCCTGTGTGGGCCTCCCCAGGAGTGCTCCCCTACCTCTGTTCGCCAGGAAAAGGATGACAAACAGATGGATGCCCAGCGCCCAGAGACCCCCGCAGGACCTGATGGCGATGCCCACGCCCGCCCCTGCAGGCTGCCTCAGGGATGCCCGAGAGACAGCCACGAGGGGGAGCCCAGCCAGGGGCACACCTCCCTGGGGACCCTCCTTCCTCAGAGACAGCCACACTTACGCCCTCAACGTGGCTTCCTGGAGTGACCGGAGCGCCTGAGTCCAGAGCCCAGGCCAGGCCCAGGAGAGGGCACAGGAGGGCTTGGGAGGTCGCGGTGCTTGAGGACGGTACCAGGTCGGCTCCCAGCAGCGTGGGAGCGGCTGTGCGTGGGACAGGGGCGGGCAGCGGCCACAGCTGTGACACACGTGGGGACACAGCTGTGCTAGGTACTCAGAGCTGGGCCCTGAGGGGAGGGGGGGCGCGCCCACAGGAACTGTGACAGGAAGGGGCAGGGCCCATGCACACAGACTGCGAGAGTCGCAGTCTGGGAGGTGGGGACCTAGGGAGTTTGGTCCCCTGAGTTACAGGGAGGCCACGGATGAAGCAGAGGCCTCCCACCACCCTGGGGGCTTTGGCCTGCCGCGCGCTCACTCCCTGCTGACCCTGGGCCTTCTGGACAAGGCCTCCCCGAGCAGCCGTGATCGGCCCATGTGTCAGCTAAAAACTGACGACACAGTGCACTTTTTATTTTTTATTTTTATTTTATTTTTTTTTAAATTTTTAAATGTTTATTTCTGAGAGAGAGAGACAGCGTGAGCAGGGGAGGGTCAGAGAGAGAGGGAGACACATAACCCGAAACAGGCTCCAGGCTGTGAGCTACCTGTCAGCACAGAGCCCAATGCGAGGCTC